AGTGTCCCATTCGTCATTTTAGCTTTCAGATGGGTGCTCGCAAGCGCCCTCTTTGTGGCCACTATGCACCCTCGATGTGCACTTCTGCTGAGCCTCTCGAGTCTTCGGGTCCAAGTCGTTCGTTCTTTTGTCACGTGACGTGAGAGCAGCAATGGATACAGAAATTAGTTAATAATTCCCAACCTTCCTTACAAACAAGCACGTAGTTTGTTTCTTTACTCTTACAGTTACGTAATTTTTCTGGTTTCAATTTTTATTTGAGCTTTATAGCTTTTTATTTCTTACAATTTATAAATTTGTGAATTTCTGTGATGGTTCTTTTCCATAACGAATGTGGTAATCATTTAATCATTAGGTCTTGCTAATAACTAGGTAATAATTTGGTCTTGGCTGCATTATATTTTATATAATGTGATCAATGCTTGTGTAAATAGATGTGTTGGGAATTTGGATATAAACATGTAACATTTTAACTATATTCTGCAGAAATGAACGAAATGACTTGAAAAAGGATTCGTTAATTTGGCTGAACGAGATTGAAAGATCCGAGTCAGTAAAATTATGCGAACTTCCCATCACTATATGGTACATTCACACGGGGTGTCGGCATCAACACTTGACGGAGGGCGTGTCTGAAGCTTGGTGCTGACGCGATCATCATAGTGACAACAGTGCCTGAGCTAGGCTATTTGCATAAGGCAATCTGATTGGCTGACGCCTCCATTGGCACTTGAAAAGTTGAGAAATTTTCAACTTCTGCCGCGAGCAATGCCAGTGACGCAGAGATGGTCTCACTATAGGGAAATGAGAGGGTCTGTATTACTTACTATTGGAGAAAGCGTAATGGTCAACTTGGATCACGTGTGCCTTAATAACCAATCACATTACAGCCTTGACATCATTGAATTTCAGTCAGAGTTGTGCGACACTCAATCGCCGTTTACGGATACCATAGGAATGTATGAGAAGTGCCGTAAGCTGTATCCCACCTGTCGCAAAAAGTCAGTGACTTCTCTTATAAAACTGCATTTTTTTCAGTGTAAACTCTAAAAATAGTTCAATCCAAAAGTATTGCTTAGTGTAAAACATGTTAGAGATTAGCTGATAGGCTGTCGATCCATTAAATTATAAGCGGTTTCCTCTAAAAAGCTGTTTATTCAGTGTAGTGAAGCCTCTCCTCCATTGACATCCATTAAAAAAAATAACGGCCTCTGGTCTTCTTTCCCACATACTGGCAAACCGGAAGCATTAGCATTAGCCATTACGCTTTTTTGGCTAAAAGTTGCAGGCTTGCCTTCTAGTGGCTTTGGTGACACGATGCCGACGGACCCACAATTTAGTTCGGTAATGCATGACGTCACCCATTCAAAGTAAATTAAGCATTAACGCGGACACCCCGTGTGAATGTGCCGTTTCAGCCATACAGCTGGATGCCTTTGTCCATATTAGGGATTTCCTGGAATGTCACATATTATATTACTTTTATGTGGCATATTTTGAGTTTCTGCGCAACGGCACCCTCTGACTTACAGTATGAATCAATGCTCCATAATGCTCACACCACCCCATTTTCGGTAAAAATGGGAAAAAAATTATACTTCTCTCTAAAGAATTTTCTAAGAAATTTCAAATAAACATATGCAAATGTTCTAGCCTTATTATATTTTTTCTTTCAATAGAAATCTCAAATTTTATGCCCTTAATGTTTTGGGAGTTCTTCCCCATGGTATTCAAAATGGTATCAAATATCAATATTTTTCAAGGTATCGTATCGAATTTAGAAATTCCAGTGTCGTAACAACATTACTATTGGTATTATTGTTGGTACTATTGAAGAATGTTGGTAAATAACCAATTGCTTGTAGCCATCCACTTCCATTACATATTTTTTCATACTGTGGAAATCAATGGGGATCAACAACTGTTTGGTTAGCAACATTCTTCAAATTATCTTCTTTTGTGTCCAGAAGAAGAAAGAAACTCATACAGGTTTGGAGCAAATTTAGGATGAGTAAATGATGACATAATTAAACTATCCCTTTAAACTTAAATTTCCACATGCATCTCTCACCTTCCCACATGCTCTGCAGTGATGACGTCTTTTGGTGAAGGAGAATTTGGATCCACATTTCATGCATGCTGGTGCCTGAGAATCAGGGACCCACTGCGGGGCTGTAGTGCCCAGGGAACTGCAGCGCTGCATAGGCAAAGCACCAAGTGAACTCTTCCTCCTGCCAGACACTAGTGACGCTTCCATCTCACCACTCTTCTTGCAGTCTAGCGTGGGGTCCGAGGGCTCTGTGCTGCCCATTTGGTGGGAGTCCTCCACAGGAGACGATGGAAGTCCCAGCACAGCCTCCAGCTGCTCCTGCTCATTCTCTGCCCGCTCTTTCTCTTCAATGACAGAGTCCTCCTTCAGACCAGGCCTCAGCTTGCGCTCATCCAGCAGCGACTCGCTGGAGTCCTTGAGGGTGGAGTATCCGAAACGCCTCTCACTCCACACAGAGAGAGTGGCGGTTACTGCTTGCCTCATAGTCTCAGAGGAGGGAGCTCAAAGTGAGAGGGTTACTGATCATACTTTAGCCCACCCGGAGCTTTGTTTTACCCTCAAACCATCACGCTGTGGCCCGCACAAATTCCTGGCAAAAGATGAGTCAGATATATTAATTCCCAGCAGCCTAGTAGATTTGTCAGGGCCGCTTGGCTTTCTTTATTTTAACCCTATAAAGCCTACAAAAGCCTACAATTTCAATCAACCACATGCTTCTATCTTCTGATTGATACGTTTTAGCAAGTAAAATGCCATTCTAAAAACGTCCCCCTTTAGCTTGTGGTTCATGTCTCTTTGCTGTGAAATCTTTTCTGATCTTTATAGGGTAAACATAAAAATACATTTTATATTCTTAGTTAAAGGGTTAAAGGGTATTTTGAAACCCCCCGTTTCAGCACTGGTTAGTTCTCACCACAGTTTTAAAGGGGTCATATGTCAACTTTTCTCTTTGGAGTGTTACAAGCTCTTGGTGCATAAAGAAGATCTGTAAAGTTGCAAAGACTAAAGTCTCAAATCCAAAGAGATATTCTTTATAAAAGTTCAGAGTCAGCCACACCTACCTAAAATGGCTCATTCTAACACACCCCCACATGTCTACATAAACTATGTGGGAAGATTTGCATAACGCCGCCCAAATGTTCATGCAAAGAAAGGCAGCGTAACTTTTATTCTGGCTGTAGTATTGTTGCCGCCGCCGTGCTGGTCGCTGAGGAAATACTACAACTTTGTGCTGTGGATCGCCGGATCGGCTTTCACCGTGGACGAAGAGGAGTCCAGCCCGGGGTCGTCACATGTGGTTGCCGCAAGCCCTCCGGACGCTCCTTCGTCGAATCCCCCGGCCTCTGCTCATTCAAGGCCGCCGTGTGTGATGCTGTGTTTCGTTGTGAAAGTGAAACTACTTTGTTTGGCCTTCCAAAAATGGACACGACTATTTACAACACTGTTCCAGAACACTTCAACCCAAATATTCAGATGTGTGCAGCACATTTTATGGAGGAATGTTTCCTGATCCTGGGAGAGTAGACTACAATGCCGGCTGTTCGGACTCAAAGACTGTAAGTAAATTTTTTATATTTAAAGAGTTTTTATACTTTATATATTTAAAGCAAGTTTTTTGGGTAGTGTAGAGTAGTGCTTGTTGTTTGTCATTTCTCCGATCACAAATGCAGACATGGTTTTATGTTTACGTGGCGCGATGCAACACAACGCATAAAAAGACAGTACAAGTCATTATAATCCATAATTATGTCTCCACTGGATGCAACGAATGCCTCGTTTATAATGGGTTTTCCTGTTTTTGAATCATCGCTCCGGCCTGACAGGGCATCATCACAATATGGCGAGGGGCGTAACATTTCCGTCACACGCTTGAGGTATTCGGCCTATCACAACGCACTGGATAGCTGGCAAATCACAGCACACCTCACTTTTTCAGACCGATGAGCTTTGTAAAAATCTACGCTTTTCAGAAAGGCGGGGCATAGAAGAGAAACAATAATGTACAGTATGTGGAAAATAATGTGTTTTTTGAACCTTAAACCGCATAAACACATTTCATTACACCAAATACACAAAATAATGTTCTTTTTAGCAGCATCATATGACCCCTTTAAAAAATGCTAAAAAAGTGGGCGTGGTGCACAACGGAGCGGAGGTGGGGGAAGAGGGGGGACAACACACACACAGCTTAGCGTTCTGACAGTTTCATTTCGCTCCCATTGAGTTAAAAACACAAATAAATGCACAGCCATTTGCACTCTGCATCGAAAACATATATATGAACGCGCTGTTGCACCTCTGAGAACTTTTAAGGCTTATTCTGTGGCGTTTATATAAGCCTTTTGACGGGTTGTGTCACAGAGCTGTAAAAACGGTTATGCTCACCAAGTGAATGAATCGCGTTTGTGCCAAACTCTTATTACAAAGCAAAAACAAACACTCTTCTTCGATCCATGAACGTGTCTCTCAGTTATTGTGCGCAATGTCATCCCACAGACTCTGAAAAGTCTGTCATAGCAAACCAACACATGCTCTTGTGAATAATTAAGAGAAGCATCTTCTCATGAATAATTTAAGACATCGATGCGCCATCGATGTACTATTAGTCCATTGCCACGTCACAAATTGTGACGTCAACACAATGTAGATTTTAAACCCGGAAAAGGAAAATAGAGCAAAATAAGCTTAAAATTAACCAGTTTTCTCCAAAAGTTAAAATGATCGGATGCTAACATTGTCTTCTATGATGTGCAACACAAACACCTCTGCTAAAATCTCAGAAAGTGTAGTCTGGGGGTTCATGACCCTTTAAGATGAACATACTTGACTGAAGCAACTTCGGTTTACTTGTTATCCAGATTCTTTTTTTTTGAAAAATCATGTTAAAATGCGAGTCCAAATATGATCCATCAGGTTTTTAAGGAACGCACATTTATTCATCTTTCAATTATCATTGTATTGCATTGCATTATATGTTTTGAAACAACATAGCAGTGATCATAAAACCAAGCATTTAAATATCATCTTACTAGGAAATATAGAGTGACAACAATTGTATCTTCCTTTCAGCATTTTATATTCTTTGGAGATGTAGCCTACTGTAGTTAATGGTGTGCCACACTCTCAGACACAGGTCCTGCATCACTGAGGATTTGCTGAGTGGGCAGAATGACTCGTCTGCATGGGTGCATTTGCAGATACACATATTCATAAACATGCATGAACGCAACTAAATCCAAACATTAACGCATTTCAATGTAAATTAAATACACAAATTCAGATACAGTAATACAACAGCGGGGGGGTGTTGAAAAGCACTGCTGATTTGAAGTCCGACTTTGTCGCCTCACCCCATCTACACTGGCAGCGACGCGACACACTAGAAAGCGACGCGACGCGACACAGAAAGCGCCGCGCGCTATCAATTATGGGAGCGTTCTAGTCTACGAAGTGTCAGAACATCACAGCATTATAGTTTTCGCCTATTGTCCGTCTATTCCGAAATTGTCGGCCAAAAAGTTAGTGTAGCATCTGTTACCGCAGGGAGGATATGCGTTCGGTTATTCTCTCAGCAGCACTGCATTGCAGACGAGCCGCCGCAACCTTCATACAACATCTTCGATGCGTTTGCATGGACACAGGTTCCTGCGGTAATTCCGCATCTCTTTTGGTTAGCGGCACCGCACATGTGTTCATATACGGCTGATGTACATCACTCTCGCCCGTGGCTGCTGGTGACTACAGCAATGCGACACAGTACCGCCAACAAGAGCCAATGACCACATCCTCACTTACAATAATGATCTCAACAAAACCCCGAAAACTCCCACAAGAACTAGAGATTGTTTTAGCGCTCGATAGTGATGCAATGAAGGAATAAAGATAATAACGGTAAGTAATTACCAGGATCTGTGTATCCCATCACCACCTCAGCGCACTCCTGCTCGACATCAGAGGTCTGCGCGAGGCTGCACGGCGGCGCTCGAGACGCGCGCGTTCTCAGGGGCGTCGCAATCACTTGAGAAGTCAGAGGGACGCAATGGCAGTTCTCTTCGGGCTGCTCCTTATCTCACATGATTAACCCTCTGGTGTTGTTCGGTCATTTTAGTCAGGAAAAAAAACGGTTTGAAATAATAAAAATCGCTACTTTATCGGAATGGTACGAAACTCGATGACTTTTATTGCAGTCACTGTGTGACCACAAAAAAAATAGCTAAATGGTCGTAAAAAATAGTCACACTTGTGTCGTGGTCAAAAATGACCGCCATTGGAAATGAATGGGAAATACGCGAAAATGCAGAGAATTGTGTTTGTGTACAATCTACAAATCATTCGATGCAGACAAAAAGTGCACAGCAATGAAGGGGTGACACTCTAAAATATCACTCACTTACACACACAAACACACTATTATAGACACACACATGTCTGGTCAGCTATCCTTGTGGGGACTCTCCATAGGCGTAATGGTTTTTATACTGTACAGACCGTATATTCTATTGCCCTACACCAACCCTACCCCTAAACCTACCCCTCACAGGAAACTTTCTGCAATTTCAGATTTTCAAGTCAGCATATTCTGTTACACCAAATACACAAAATAATGATCTTTTAAAAAGCATCATATGACCCCTTTAATTCTGTATGATTTATGAGCTTTTGTAACCGTGGGGACCACAATTTAGGTCCCCACCGTGACACGAGTCCCCATGAGTCTGTGTGTAGTCAGGTTTAAGTCCCCACCAGGATATATAAACCAGTACACACACACACACACACAAACACACTATTACACACACACAAATGAGCTGGTGTGGCTGTAACAATATGGCAAAATTGAGGCAGAAGACTCAAATAAGTGGTAGAAATCAGATTGATTAACCTCTCACAAAGCATTCCTGTTCAATTTTTTTTACATTTTTGTTGAATTTTATGTGTAACAAAATGCCTTTCTTTGTGTTCAGGTTTGACTGTAGTAAAATGAATGCAAAAACCGACATTTCAAACCAACATTTCAACCAAAAAAAATCATACAAAATAAATAAACCTTTACAAAAAGTTGTCTTTGAGAATGTCTAAATATATATCCAAATCCACAAATTAATAAAAATAAGTATTTATGTCTGAAAGCATATTTATAAGCCTTTTATTTAGAGCTCTATAGGAATCTAGTGGCTAAACCATGGGATTTCAGATGTTTTTCTTTTTTTTACTCCCACCAAATGGAACTAATCTGCCTTCAAAAATGGGATTTTAAAGGCATTGTCTCCATTTTAACATGAAATACTGCCACAATTGAAAATTAATATAAACATAGCCTATTAGAATTTTTTATTATTTTCAATTAGGGAAAAAAATATAATTATTGCATAAATATTAATTAGTACCATTATCTCAAAATGCAAATAAAAAATATTATTGAACAAAAATATATTACATTAATTTTACGGGGGGAAAAAAAGAAATTAGATTTCAGGTGTTCGGCCACTTTTGACTGTGAACAATAAATAAACAGTACCAGAGGGTTACATAACACGTAGTTTTCATGGTATTTCTATTGCTTGAGCATATAAGATGTCTGTTCTCAATTCACCAAGAACACGTAAATGTGAACCCCTCGTAACGCACTGTAAATGTTATGATTATTGAAACTTAAGAAATAAAAATATAGCCAGTTTGCAAACAGTGGTCATGGGTCAAATAAATAAATGAATAGTAAGGTAATATGTTTTTGATCATATTCAAATAATAAAGGCTATGTTTAAGGTATCGGCTCATTTTTGTGGGCAAAATCAAGCGATTTCAACAGGAATTCATGCAAATGGTAGTTTCTTGAGGGGAAGGATTTCTGCATGCAGATTTCGCATCGAGTTCAAGTTGGTCAAACAAACTCGTCACGCCACGTTTGCATTTGCGCGAATATCGGCATTTGCCGATTTAATGATCATTAACCATCTTTATTTATGACTTTGCTAACATATTTAACAACAACATGCAGTTTCTATGCGGCTATATTTCTGTATACATAAAAAGGAAAAAAAATAAATGTAAAAATTATCGATAGTGTTTTGGTGTAACTTAGTTAGCATTTTAAACATTTCAAAGAGAAAACACATTTTACTCTTTGTTAGAAAACACTCTCTGTCTTTAGATGCCTCACCCCTCCTTTCCTTTTCCTCCCTCTCACTCTTCCTCCTCTCAGTATTCGTCGCCAGGAAGTCTATTCCTTATATGGATATGTTTTTCTGTATATGTGGCGATTTTATACAAAACACATGTTCTTGGGAAAAACATCCTGTATGGGTATGTCCCCCTATCTTCATTGGTTAAGAGGGTGAAAACTCCCCTCGACATGCCTATATAAGATCTGTATTTCTGTGAATAAATTGAAGTACTTGAGAATACATTTGAATGTGTGTTTTCTTACTTCCCGGCCGTATTTATACACTTGGAGAGACTGAGAAAATTTCACGGTGGCAAAGAGAATATCGAGGGACCAAATTGTTATTTATTAACAAATGGGGGCTCGTCCTTCCGGAATTTCTCAAAAAGACAGGTAAGAAACTTTTATTTTTCTTCCTGTCTGTAAGAGAAATTGAATTTATTCTCGTTTGCAATTTGATTGTGTCATATTTGGCATTAATCTGTTTTCCTCACATTTTATATGTGGGACGAAGAGTGAGAAGCTTTCCGTTTAACCTATCTATTTCAGAAAAATAGAGTAGTGGGAAAGATTTTAATTGCTCACTCTTGCCGTGAAAGTTCTCGGTTTCTTAAGTGATTTCATGAATAATACAGAATTTAAAGCTTTCTTTTGGCCAAAATATCAAAAAGTTAATATAAGACCGCGGTCTCTATTTTGTGTTTTGTTTGGCCATTCTATAAATTGTGAAAAGTGCACTAAAATTGACGAGACATCTTTGATCTCCGATGGGGCAGGCGATCTCCAAACCAATTCTTGGCGAGTTGCCAAGGGATTGGATGTACAGAAACAATAAAGGGTTTAATACTGAACCATATTTGAGTAATTTGGCTGGTTGGTCGGAAGGCAAAGTACAATTAGATCCGTTTCCTCGTGATGGCTCGTTCAAAGATAAAGATATGAAGGCAGCCAAATTGATGGTACAGGACGGCTGGGGAGATCCGTCTTGGGACGATGAGTATATGAAACAATCATATACTGTGTGGAAAAAATTTAAACCTTATTGGGATAAAGGGCCAGATCAGGTTAAAACGACTGATAAAAAATCTTTCTTTCAAATGTCCCATGTTGACTCTCCCAGCTCGGCTCCGCCTCGGTATGATACTGTTGGAAAGCCTGAACAAGAAAAATTAACCCCTAATCGTCTGTATTCTCAGTATTCGTCGCCAGGAAGTCTATTCCTTATATGGATATGTTTTTCTGTATATGTGGCGATTTTATACAAAACACATGTTCTTGGGAAAAACATCCTGTATGGGTATGTCCCCCTATCTTCATTGGTTAAGAGGGTGAAAACTCCCCTCGACATGCCTATATAAGATTAAGATTTATATAAGATAAATTGAAGTACTTGAGAATACATTTGAATGTGTGTTTTCTTACTTCCCGGCCGTATTTATACACTTGGAGAGACTGAGAAAATTTCACGGTGGCAAAGAGAATATCGAGGGACCAAATTGTTATTTATTAACACTCTTATAATAATAATAATATGCTTAATGACACTACAGACCCCATGACAAATCTCTTCAAGCATCTCCAAGAAAAGCAAAACACAACACAAAAGTTTTATGAGCTTTATTTTTTATTTAATCAACTGAAAAAAATAAGACTAATTTTTATAGCATTTATAGCATTTCAACTAGCAATGTGGGTAAGATTTATAACCGTTAAGCATTCATGTAACCATCCATCCTTCTGTATCAATGCAGGAGAAAGGACAGGCATGGATCTGAAACAGCCAATTTATAATATAATAGTCTCTGGTTTCACTGATAGTGTTGAAATGATATGTCTGTCACTCTAATTTAAAAATCCTGCAGGAGACTTTGCCCTGAACAGCAGTTACTGAAGGCCCAACGTTCAGTTTGCCTCGTTCTTTGATGCCTCGTCAAAGTTCTCTACAAGATCTGTGAAGAGAGAATAAAATGACTTAAATCTGCATATTGCAATTGACAGCTCGCTCGAAAGAAAAACCTTCATACCTGGGACATCATCATCTTCTTCATCGATATCTTCTGCTTTCGGAGCTTTGTTGTCGAGAACTTGAAAAGTAACAAAACAGCAACGTCAGCATCTACACTAAACTCACCCCTATTTCAAAAGCGCCTCTTTACTCACCCTGTCTGGGAAACTGCTCGGCGAGTTTGCGCAGACTTGTGAGACTGTCAGCGCCGAGCTGACTGAGGATTCCTGGGAGCATTTCCGTAAGCTGTTTGGTCTCTGCGTGGCCGGTGATGGCGAACGTATTAGCAGACAAAGACGCCTGCACTTTGGGGTTATTGAAGTGAATGACGGTGCCATCATCTTTAATCATATTCACCTGTAAAACAAGATCGAATTCTCAATGCTCGCTGAACAGGACAGAAGGGAATCAGTGAAGAAAGACTGGAGAGCTACTGATCTACCTCTTCAATGCCAGCTATGTTATTGACCGCAAGCTTCTTTAATGAACTCTGGAGTTTCTTGTCATCAGCCGTTGCTGTTCTGTGCACCACCTTCTTCTTTCTGCGTGCTGTTCCCTGTAGAAAACGAGGCAAAACTGAGCAACGAAAGAAAAAAAAAAAATCCAAAATAATCATTGATCAGGGTTCATTGATAATATTTCTTACCTTGCCCCCTATCCGGACCTGGGCTTGAAGTTTAGCCAGTTTCTCTTGATTCATACTGACTTCTGAAACAAACAAATCCTTTATTATCCAAATGCTTTAACATCCACCTAGAAAAAAATTCTATACACTATATCTTGTTCACACGAAGACCGATACAGCATTTCTTGAAGTTTTGTCGTCTGCCACTCGAGCCCTTTAAAGCAGGATGGATTCTCATTGGCTATCATTGTTTTTATCATCAATCAGCTGGCAAGTGATTTCAAAAAAGATTGTTCCTTTGTGCCATTACTGTTACATTTGTGCTGTGGACTTAGAATTTTGATTATTACATAAATATATGTTAGGCTGAATAATGGAGGAACATTATTTCACCCATAATTACACGTGGGGAAGTCGTGGCCTAATGGTTAAGAGTCGGACTCATAACCCAAGGTTGCGGGTTCGAGTCTCATACTGGCAGGGATTGTAGGTGGGGGGAGTGAATGTACAGCGCTCTCTCACACCTTCAATACCACGACTGAGGTGCCCTTGAGCAAGGCACCGAAGCCCCAACTGCTCCCCAGGCGCCGCAGCAAAAAAAATGGCTGCCCACTGCTCTGGGTGTGTGTGCACTGCTGTGTGTGTGCACTTTGGATGGGTTAAATGCACCATACTTGGCCACATGTCACGTCACTTTATATTTTCACATTTGTTTCAATAAGTTATTTGAAACATTAAAGTAGACACTTTACTTGCATTTAACGTGCTTTATGTATATAAAATAATTTTTGTAAATTTAATTGTGGACAACAAAATGGCACATCTCGTCTTTGACCGACCCACACACACACACACACACACACACACACACACACACACACACACACACACACACACACACACACCTTTACCAGGCCTTGCAATTATATTTTGTTATATTACACTATGGACTCCCTGGAAAAGACATTTTCATTATCTGTCTAAAATAAATCTAAATATGGTTATTACTTTAATACAGAATGGCACAGAAACATTTTAATCGTAACTACACCAGCACACAGTGTGCTCTTGTTTCCAGAGCTGTGGAGTAACAGAGAGAATGACTGCCGATGCGCCTGTCAGGGAGCATGAGATGGAAAACACTGTCGGAGGTTGTCGTAAAAACTCATTTGCCGTCGGTTTGAGGAATATTCCAGGCCTCTCCGTCTGTATCTCTGTCTCTGTCCCTCACACATGTCGCAGTGATGGAGAATAAAGAGAAATCCTGACGGTGCACAATCAGAGCGAGCGCACCACTCCAGCCTTACACGCGCACACATCTCACGATCACATCACAACAAACACAGCGCGCGGAGCCACTAGCTTACAGCACATCCGACGAGTACACTGTATACAACCCAATCATCCTGAATGATGTACATTTCACATAAACACATAACGCTGCTCATTACTGACCTGATAAACACAGCTGCGCAGAGAAGCACGCGTTGAATGAACAGGGCGGAAGTGGTCAGTCTAAAAGACTAATCGCGTCACGTTGTTTTTGCTGTTTTAATGGCGAACAGCAGTGATGCTGCCCTCTAGCGGCTCGGGCTGAAATAATGGAAACGTAAAGCTAACCTGTTGATTGAATGGTATGAATGCAGACATTTGCGGAAAAAAAAATATAAACATAATTATCTATCTATCTATCTATCTATCTATCTATCTATCTATCTATCTATCTATCTATCTATCTATCTATCTATCTATCTATCTATCTATCTATCTATCTATCTATCTATCTGTCTGTCTGTCTGTCTGTCTGTCTGTCTATCTATCTATCTATGCATATTTATTCTGTTATTCCACTCGTCACAAATGTGACAGGTTACTTGTTCACTTGTCCTGTGACTATAATTTCTATAAGATAGAACAAACTTTAAAAATGTAATAACAGACAACATAAACATTATGTAACATATGATTGTTGTATCTTTATTTTGACATGCTTATATTTTGTAGTGCTTTGACACATACAGTATTATGGATTAAAACAGCTCTTTACAGCAGCAAATGATAATGTTTACATTTCAAATCGAGACTCTTAAAATCTGTAGATATCATAAAATACAAACATCATGATGACAAACACACTGTATATTGGATGCATAACACCTCATACACACATTTATATATATATACTGTATATACATGTCTGAAACATTTAACCAAATAAATTAGCTGAGGATTGCTGAAGTCTCAAAACACACTTGCTTGACGCAACAGACTATAAAACCGAACCTTCAAAAGCATGTTTAGACCTTGCTATTCATTTGAACACATGTCTTAGGTTGATTAAAATTCAGTACGCAGGAAACTTGTATTTGAATTTTTCTCACACATTGTACTTCTGCTAATGAAAACCACTCTGTGGTTGACATCAGACTGAACTTTCAAATGAATGCAAATTCCCTCTACGAGAGATATCGCATGGATCTCTGAAACAGTCTGTTTTCTGCTGTAATGATAAAATATCTGTGAATGGAGGTCTCATATCTGCCGTCAGGGGAGGTGAGCTGATTGGATGGCAGTGTCTGGTAGGAAAGGTCCGTGCAGGCAGATGGAGTCTGGTCTGCTGATCACTGAGCTGCTGGCCTCCATCCTGGAGCTCCTCAGAGTGCTGCCCTGCCGCTGGAACCGAAAGTCCAAGTGAGGACTGCAAAGTCTCAACGCCACCTGAAACAGTCTCTTCAGAACAGCTTTGCGCAGCAGGATGTACACCCATGGATCGAGGATCTGGTTCCATGTGGCCATGCGCACTACCAGCAGCATATGAGTGTATGATGTCTGATCCTCACCGTGATCCTGTAGGCTGAAGATGATGCCTGTTATCTGGGGACCAAACCATACAATTCATAAAGCATTTGACACAAAAATATACATTTAAAATTATACACAAAAATTATACATCTGCTTGTGTTGCTCCAAGCAAAAATTAAATTATTTTTCAATATGCTCAATTAACCAATTGTATATATATATTAAAGATAAATCTGTTTATATTTTGAAAAAATAAAATCACATATACTGAATATAAAGTTACATTTATATTTAATACACCTATTTTATTAAATACATGTTTATTAAATGTAAATATATAGATATATATAT